TCTCTGATGGTGGAGGCCCAGAAGACTTAAAGTCGATGTTCTCTTCCTTTGACCAGTCGCTCTTAAAGGACACACAGCTGGGTTCTGGTTCTGGTTCTGGTTCTGGTTTGAGTCTCTGATGGATCCTGACAGAAACATGATGATTAAAACTTAATCAGCAAAGAGGAGCAGCAGCAGCTTCATCACCATGTCTGTTCTGGCCTGATATAGTGAACGCTGTGTGAAAAGGGCTGTGGACAGTTAGAGATGGTGACCTCACCTCTGACCTTTGCTCTGGCTCTCATCTTCCCCACACAGAGTGGTTTTAGAGGGAGGGACTCCCTCCTCTCTGTCCTCACACTGATCCATGCTGCTGAATCCACATCAGCTCACACACACTTTCTAGCTTCACCTGCAGAGGAAACACACATCATTCATCTGCACATCAACTCTGATCATCCTTTACATCATTAGTGCTGGAAAAAGATCAGCTGCTCCTCCTCTGATTGGCTCTTCTTCTCTGCTTCATATCAGTGTCAGGTGAATGCAGTCAGACAGCAGAGAGGCAGAGGAAGCTGCCATCAGCTGCTGCACTTCTACTATCAGTCCACTAGATGGAGACATGGAGCAACATTTACATTCACTCATTCAACCTGAACAACAGGAAGTATTGTATTGCACAATTACACTCTACAGTGATTCACTGCTGCATCAAATATTTACTTTTTAATAATCAGACAGAAGTAAACACATTTCAATAATAAGATTTTGTAATAATATTTTATCTTGAAAGGAAGAAACAAACAACTCTTGGCTTTGATTTTAATGCTGGACCAGAGCTTGATGCCAGGAAACAAAAACATGAAGCAGTTTCTTCAGAGAAGAAAACAGGAAACATCAGCTGTTCATCATGTTGTTTGATTCCAGTTCACCAATTAATCTAATAATCCTGTAGATTAGCCTTCAAGTAGCAGAGAGATAATATTTTGAGGTGAAAACAGAAGTGAACCTGTTCCCCAAACATCAGAGAGCAGAAACAATCTGTTTCTGAAGAGAAAGTTCAAGTAGGCAAATTATCAAACTTACGATTTAAGAAGATCCAAAGAGTTGATGAAGATTAACTCTTTACTTTAGTAAAGAGTTAATCTCTTTACTGTGATTCTGTTGCTTCTAAACCCAACAGAACCACAGTAAAACCAGACAGACCTGAACAGGTGTGTTTGATCTGAAAGTGTAAAGAGGAGAAATGAGCCCAAACTGGTCTGACTTGTCAGACTGACTGGGAGTCTGTTGGGTTTATTTAGTTCCCCAACCTGCAAGAATCAACCAAGGACACAAATTACTTTTTCGTAGAAAAGGGGAGAAGAGCTCAACGCGGAGAATCGCTGCCAAACGCTGTCTGAGATCAACTCCATGGGTTCTCAGTCCCCAACTGCCTTTTATTATCATGTGAATACACAAAGAGGTTGGCTTTCTCACTCAGACATGCAAACAATTGACCAATACTCTATCCTACAGGATGTTCTGGAGGTCTTCCGTTGATGTCCCATCATTGGGACACAATGATGACCACATTTCCAACCCTTAAGAGAAAACCAACTAAAAGACAGTTTAGAATATACAATAAAGGAAAGGGAAAGAAAACACACAGAATAATATGAAAACATAACCATTCAATATAAAAGTAAATGAACTAAGATAATAATTTCCAAACAGAGTCAGAGGAAAGTTTACCTGTTGACATCATTTGGATTTTGAAACAAACTCATATTTTCAGATTTCAGTGCAACACAATAAAACTGATCTCAGAGCAGCTTCTGGTTCAGGAACAATGGACCTGGAATGTTGACTTTTGCTCTTTTCCAGTATCAGGAAGATTCCAGCTACAGAGATCACATTACATCAAAACTGCAGCTGCAGATCAGGAAATAAAGATGATCTGCCTACTTTTGACTATGACTGTAGAGATGATTGATGAAAAAAAAAATTAATAATGTTTTTGTTCATTTAGCAAGTCATAGAGAAAAACCATGTTGATTTTTCTGTGATATTTTTTTACCATGATATTCATAAATTCATAAATGTCAGATATTTAAACAATTTTTCTCTAACTGAATATTTATTTTCAAAACTAAAGATTTGTTTTTGTAAGTATTTTTTATCTCAAAACTACATATTTAATGATCTTTTTCATGTCTAGTTGTTCAGTCAGACGCTCCATCATGTTGTCATGTTTCAGTTTTTCCTCCATTCAGCAACAGTTGGTGAACTGGGTTTAATCCAGTTTAGTCTAATTGTCTTTCTTGCTACCAGCAGCAGAAGGTGCAACAATATGTAACATTGATGTTTAGTGAGTAAATCCTTGGTGTTTATGTCCAGCAGAAACAGAAGAGGCTCCATGGGGATCTGTCCTCAGAATGTCCTCAGTCTCCTGTTTCATTTCCTCCCAGAAAGTCTTTATTTGTGGTCAGAACCAGAAGACGTGTGTGATGACCGACCATTCAACACATTCCTCCAACATCCATCTGTGGTTGGAATCCTGAAAATGAACGTTTTCAAAGGAGTAACACTTTATTTGACACAGTGTGTTCTATTAAATCTGGTTTTTACTTTCCAGTCAAAGTCTTTGCACGTTTGATTTCCAATCCTTTTATGGCACAAAAATGCAAATTAGAAAACTCCACTCCTTGTTTTATCTATCTCCAGTTCAATCCAGTAAATTGATTAACTCAATTGTCCAAACACAAATGGAGACCCCAAACTGGACCATATTGATAGTTTTGACCTCATTCCTCTTCAGAGATACCACTGCAAACTCGTATCAATGGCTCCTCAGAATGACCAGTGGGACGCTCTGCTGGATGGAGACTGAACTACAACACTAAAAGAAGTTTTAAACTCACTTTTCAGTTAGCTAATTGAACAAATTTTATTCTGTAAGATAATAAATTGCATGGTTACACAAAACCAATAAAAAGGTAACTATTGCCACATTATGGAGTAATCAATCATGGTGAATATCTGCCACAAAAATTCATTCTTGAACAAGATGGCTTTTTCCAGAAGACAGTATTACATTTTAATAAAAAGTGGGGTGGAAATAAAACTGATGGAAAAAAAATGCACATATGAAATTCACCATTTCTGGAACAATGACATTCCAACATATGTGAAGTAGATTTTTCTTTAAAGAGAAAATGTTTTATTTGCATCATACAGTCTTCTTTTATGTATCACATAAATGTAATTGTATCATAGTCAAGATGTTTTTCGGTGCAGCTGCAGAGGGTGTACAAACTAACTGAACAAGATGCGTCTGCTGAAGTTTCCCAGGCGGGTCGTCTGGGAACTTAATCTTCTCCTCTGTTAGCTGAGAGGTGAATAAAGCAACTATGTAAATCTGAGTTCGTTAGAGCAGATTTAGATTTTCGCCTAATGCAGAGTATATTTTTCCCTCTGTCTGCAGATGTATTAAAGATTGTTTTTGCTCCCTGAACTTGGACTAGACTTGTGCACTTCACACATATTCAGATGAACTTTTATGGTTAGTTCACAATGGAAAAATCTGAGTTGATTTCATCTGAACATTAATTCAATCTGGAGAGACTTAGACGGAGAAAATGGAAACCATTAGAAGAGTTTATTGACATACAAAATTTAAGTCTTTGGCGCTTGGGCCCCGGCTGAGGACATGATCATCACAATCTTTGCGATGAGCTTGGATGAGCATTCCATATGCTGAAAGGAACGTCATCCCCCGAGACCAGACATTGGTGATGGAGGTGAAGAAAGGATGCAGCCGGTTAGCCGAGCGAGTGGAGGTGAAGGGGTGGAGGAGGGTTGAGCTCTGCTGGACAGCAGAAGACGCCATGGACGGTGCTATTTATCAGCTGGGACTTGGACAGTGATTGGACGTGACGCGTCTTGGACCAGCGTTGATTAATCAATGGTGATGAACAGGAAGCAACGGTTGGATGATGCAGGTGGGGTTAGAAGAGACTTCCAGTTTGAATTTGCCTTTTTCCTCACAAAGTGCAATAAGATCTATTATAAATTTGCCCAGTATAAATACACTGATTTCACTGTGAAAATTACGTTTTTAGTCTGTAGTATAAGAAATAAAACATTTCCAAGTCTTAAATACTTTATACAAAATATTGAGTGGAAATCATACACAGTGAGACAGATTTAAAGAGACGTGACAGTCCAATGAAAACTCCAGATAAATGCAGTGATTTTATGGTCAAAAGTTACAAAAATGTGCAATAATTAAAAAAACCTAAAGTGAAAACTTAACTTGGCACAAGGAAATATTTGCTCCCATCAACAGAAACATTGAATTACTGAGGGAAGGTAAGAGGCTGGATCTGTAGTTTAATTTCATCCATTAAAAAGCTGCTGAAACAAAAAGAGTTCAAAATAAATCGCTGTCTACAGAAAATACAAAGAAATGGTAAATAAAAAAACATGGGATTGATACTCAGCATGACAGATTACAGCTTACATAAAATCACTAAAATGAAAAATACAAAATGTTAAGGACATCAGTCTGGAGAAACAAGATGCAAATTATAACGATTACAAGAGATTAAAAATAAACAAAAAATAAAATCATTTTTATAATTAAGGCCACTCGTATGAAGAGCAGAATAAAAAAAAAAGGAGAGAAATGTAAACTTGTAATTATTCCAACTCAAGTCCTGCTGTGCAACTCAGTTTGTAAAAAAACCCCAAAAAACTCAAAAATGTCAAAAAATGGAGCAGAAATCAGATCAAATCTTTAAAAGGGAAATAAATATACAAAAATAAATAAAATGGCCATGACATGCAGAAAACAGAGAAATAAAAATTACTCAATAGAGGATGAAATGAAGCGATGAGTTAAATTCAAACATTTTTCATGTGAAAACGAGGATTAGCATCGTTTCTGCATGACAAGGCATTTTCCTGCTCAAACTGTTAGAAAACAAATTGTGATTTGTAGTTTTTCTTTGCTAAGTGAAGTGAAATATTGACTTGTGTTCATTAAAAACAGGGATTTCTTTCCTTTTACATGAACACACATTCACAGCTTGCAGAGTGTAAGGCTTGAACCACTTGGCCACACTTTGGGAGGGGTGGGTTGGATTTATTGCACAAGAACACTCGGGGCGGGTGGGTTCTTATTCGGCCCTTTGACAGGTTCTGGATGGGTTCTGTCTCCTCAGTAGAGGCGGACGAGACTTAAAAAAATGTGAAGTTGAAGAACACTGGAAGCTGGTGAGGTTTTACACAGCAGCCAAGACAGGTCAGAGGTCAAAGCAGTGCCACTGCATCAAGCAGAGCCTCATCTTCCCTCCTCTGCTGATCGGGTCTCGGACTTGAGCCGGACGAACTCCTTGGCGACGTCGTCGTTGGAGCGCTGGGAGAGGATCCGCATGGCGGTCAGGCCCGTGTCGTCCATGGAGATGCGCTGCCCCAGGGGGCACCAGCAGGCGCAGTTGCCCCTCTCCATGATGTCCCTCAGCTGCACCACGGCCAGGCCCACCACCCGGTCGGCGCGGCCGAAGCAGTAGTCCTTGACGCAGGCTTGAACCTCGTAGCACTCGAACCCGTCCTGAACACCCAGAACGCTGCAGAGCGAGAGCAGAACACAGGAGTGGGAGCACATGGGCTAGGGCGCTAATTGCAGAGCTAATTCTGATTTTGTGCTTTTTCTGAAACTTTAAAAACATTCGTACACCTAGCTTTTGATGTAATTTTCCATTTTAAATCAAAACATTTTACTTTGATTTGAGGTCCACATCTGCAGTGGTAGATTACACTATTGCTAATCTGCTAATGTGCTAATAGCTGAGCAAATTTGTTGTGCAACACATTTTGATTCCCCTAAATCAGTTTTCAAGTTAAATTCTAAAGCACTAATGTACTTTTGCTGTTTTTCAGACTTTCAGTTGAATAAAGTTTGACATCTGCAGTAGAAGGGACACTTCCATTAAGCTGCTAATGTGCTAATAGTAGAGCTAATTTTAGCTTTTTAATAACTTTTAAAACTATTGCCACACAATTAATTTCTTAAAATAAATCCAGATTTTATTTGGAAAAGTTAAATTTGAGGAAGTTCACTAAATGTTTAGCAGAAACACTAAATGAACAATTAGCTGTGCTGCTAGCGCATTAGCTGACATTGTCCAGTAATTTCACAAGGACTTTGTTTTGTAACCAACAGTTTATGAAGTCAGAATTAAAAGAGCTTCAAATCCTAAATGTGTCACGACGTTTGGTTTTGAACTTACAAGTGAAAGGTCTCGTGTATTTGGGAGACCAGCTGTTGTTCTTGGATTTGGTCTGAAATCGGCGCTTCTTGTCGCTGAGGTGCGGCCCGATCATCGTGACTTCCACGAAGGGTCTGAACATCCCAGACGTCTGCCACTTCAAATCACTGGCTGCAATCACTGCATCAATGACACAAACATTTAAACAGAAATGACACTAAATGCTCCAGCTTTGATTTTATTGGTTCAAAATGAGCCCAAACGGACCTTTGAGAGTAACTTTCCGCTCTCCGCTCTTGGGATGAGTGTACAGCTCAATCTGCAGGGAAACCTCTCCGATGGGTTTGTCCACACCTGAGCCTGGTTTAACACAAACAACATTTGGTCCAATGCAGGCAAAGAAAACCACGTTTTATAGAGTCACGCGACAGAAACGCAGGTTTCACAAAACAGAAGAGAGAAAACGATGAAGGGAAGTTGGGCTGATGATGATTTCATGGAGACCTACCCCTGCTGGGCTGGATTTCTCATTAGGGGTTAACCTAATACCCTTCCCATTGTGCACTGGCACAGAGGCAGCAGGAGATAAAAACAAGACAGCAACTTAAACAACCAAATCCAGGAGATAAAAGCAGCGAGGAATCTGAAACTCTCCCGTATTTAATCTCCTTTGAGGCGTTTTGGATCTACCCTGTGAATGCTGCGTGGTCACGAAGGTTTTGATGAGCGTGTCGGTGGTCTGGGTAGAGCGACAGAGCGTGGCGGAGCGACGAAAGCTCAGCGCTCTTCTCCAGGAAAGTCTTCTTCAAGCCGTTCCCGCCCGCATGAAAGTATTGCTGCGTAGGAAACAAAACGAGAGGAATCAGCGTTCTACAACCTGAATGATTAAACTTAAAGTGGAGTTAATCAGACTTTTAGTTAATCAACTAAAAGACTCTTAAAATGTGAATGAATTGTACTTTTCTGTTTGACCAGAGGTCAACGTTTCGCTCTCACCTTGATGGTATCCAGAGCCACATCCATGACGGCACACTGCCTGGGCGTCAGGCTTTTAGCGTCTCCTGCCATGTGATCCTAAACAACCCAAACCAAGACTTTGACTAGACCAATTCACAGGAGAAAGCAAACTCAAAGGCAACCTGATACCTTCAGTTTGGAAAGGTGTCCCAGTTCTTTAGCAGCAGAAAGGATCTGTGCTCCCTTCAGGAAAAACAGAAAAATGAATGATTCTTTTAGTTTTCAGAAGCCTTGTTTCAATTTTAAGTATCATATTAGTAAAGTTTGATGGAAATGGAAAAAAAGCATCGATACAACTCATGTTCATACGTAAAGTGAGTTATTTATCTACTCTATATGTGATTGGATGATGTTCAGTTTGTTGACTAATAATTAAACTGAATATGCCACAGTCATCATTTTAAAACATAATGGATAAAAATATTTTTTGTGTTTGGTCACGTCTGTCAAAATGTTTACATCTCATCATCTGACACAATTACGAGTTGATCCATTTCAAAATGGCAGCCATGTTTCCATCCAGCTGTGATTCAAATTTTGAGAAAATTTTTATAATAATGTATAAAAGAAAATGCAAATTACACTGCAAAACCATAAACTCTTACCGAGTAATTTTGCTCTAGTTTCTAGTGCAAATTTGACGAATGTGAATTACAACATTTAACTTTTCTTTTGGGATCAATAAAGTATGTTTGAATTTGAATTTTGAAATATCTCAGCACATTTTAAATAAGACAAAAAACTTAGTAGTAACTTATCAGAAGAAGAAGCTTGTTTTAAGTCGATAATTCCTTAATATTGATAAAAAAAAGTAGTTGGCAGATTATTTAATTTAAGGGAAAATGATTATTGTGAAATAATCTCCTACACAAAATAAGTTCATTATATTTATTTTGCACAAAATTATTGATATAAAATGAGATTTTAGTCTGGTTATTATTTCCCTTATAACATTGCAAAAATATCTTGATTTAGGTGAAATAATCAATGTTGGAGAAACATTATCGTCATTGATATGTAATAACAGCAATAGTGTTACAACAACACTATTAAATAATAGTGTGTTGTAATTTCAAGGCTGCTGTTTCTCTGTCAGATTCCCTCAGGTCTCCACAGCAGAGAGATGGATCACGGCGCTCTTCCTCCACCTCCTCGCCGCGCCCATCCTCATCCTCCACCACCTCCACTGAGTTCTGATGGGTCGCTTCAGATCCTCTCTGGAGATCAGACACCAGAACAGAGGCGGATCAGAACCAAACCAGCAGCTCTGCTGAAGCTCAGGAGAACTCTGAGTCCAGATGTGGACCCTGGTCTCCTCCAGAACCTCCTCTGTTCTGCTGTGGAGGAACTGTGTGGCTCCAGTTCTGCAGCAGGACCTTCTCAGCTGCAGCAGAAGAAGAAAGGACTTCCTGTGTTCAGGTTGGATAGAAACCTGGATATTTTCTAGCTTGTGGTTCTGCTTCCAGCGTAGATGTTCTCCAGGTTCTGATCTGGATCTAGTGGACTGTAGAGCTCATCAGGTTTCCTCTCATCCACTTTGAGATCTTCAGCCTCCTTTAGATTCAACCTGAAGCTTCTTCTGACAGATTAGCTACTGATATTTAGCATGATGTTTATTATTCCAGCCTCAGTTTTCTGTTCTTCATGTGACTCCACTGAATCCGACTCTGATGTCGTCCACTTCACAAGTGATGAAGATCCTTTTTTCTTTCACTTCCTGCTGATTTCTTTCCAAAGCTCCATTTGTTCCAGGAGGATCTCAATGTTCTCTTTAGATGATGGAGGAACTCAGACTGACTCACCCGGCTGGTGCTCCAGGTGAGCAGAAACAAACAAACCTGAAGTCATCTCTGCAGACCAGCTTTAGATTTGGACCAACTGAACATCAAGCTTCAGTAACGTCTCAGTTAAAGTTTGTTTCCAGATCTGAGATCAGAAAGTTCTGGAACAAACTGGTTGCTCTCAGTTTGATGATGTTCCAACCTGAATGTTCATCCATTTTTCTTCTCTCAGCCTGGAAAGAAAATCCTCTAAATTATCTGTCTTGATAAAAAACTGTTTTATTAGTAAAATCTTGGAATCTTGACTCACTCTTTGTGTATCAGGACTTTCACCTTGCAGTTATTCACCTGAAATGATGAGGAATTGTTTATTGTTGGTCTAAGAATAAAATGTTTTTGTAAGGATCATGTAATCACATCCTGGAAAGTCCTTCATAGTTTATCTTTGCTCTAAAGTTATGAAAACCCGAAACCTCTCCCTTTTTAACAGAGATCAATAACCAAACACTCTGATCTTTGCTTAATCTGCCAGTTTGACAAATATAAAAGAACATCGCTTCAAAATGTGTGTATTTTATTACTTCTGAGTGGGAAAGTGTTTCTGAAATGGAGCAGGAAATACATTTCATAACAGCTGATTTGCATGTGATCAAGACAAGAAGGCAGCGGTCAACACACACACCCCAGTGGTGTGTTCACACACACTCTGCAGAACTTTGTGTTCATCAGGAGGTCGATTGTTTCAGGTTTGAGCTAAAACAGAAGCAGCAGCACTTCCTCTACAGGAGAAAACACACGAGGTCATGAGGTCAAGCTTTGTGACAGTAAATAAAACACATGAATAATCTCTTGGTTTGCCAAATTATAATAAAACATGATATTTATGTTATGAACAATTAAATAATTTTAGCTTGGATTGGCTCTGAACACATCATAAATCACTGATTCATTATAAAAACTTTGACTAGACTCAGAGTAGACTTATGTAAATATACATGATGAAGTATTTAAATTCAGCATTCACTGAAAAAGTAATTAAAGTGTAGATACAGGGATAAAGATTAGCATGCTAACCCCTCAGGTTTCCCATCAGCCACTTGGGTTTCAGGATGACCAACATTTTTAAACATGGCTGCTAATTCTGAGCCTTTTTAAACCAGATATGGACATTAAATGTTCCCTGTTAGAGATTCAGGTTTTAACTTATGGATCTTTGTCAGTAAATTTGATTTAATTATTGGGGAAGAATAAAAAAAAAATTGTCAAGGAATAAACTAAAAATTAGGTTTTTGGAGGTGAAATGATTAATTGTTGAATAAAAATGGAAAATTAATCATGTAGGATTAATGAGATTATTTTATTGTAAAATTTAAACACATTACATTTGTACTTTCACTTTGTGTAAAGAGTATTAAGTACTAATTGAATTCATATAAAACATGCAGTTTTTTCATGTTATTGAACGTAGGCAGCCTTCAAAATGAGCGGTCCTTATTTTTCTGTGATGCTTCCAGTCTCTGCGTTGTCCTGTTTCCCCTTGATTGTTCCCAGGTGTTTCTCGTTTCTGTGATTACCATCTGTGTATTTAATCCCACGGTTGTCCTTTGTTCCTCATCGGGTCCTCATCGTTCTTCACGTCATTTTGTCAAGCCTGTTCTTCTGTCCACCAGGATGAACAGTTGCTACAGGCGTTGAGCCCTGGCTTCAGCTCAGCCATGCTGCCTGTTTTTGTGTTTCCACTTGGACTATTTTTACTATTAAAACCATCATTTACTGTATCCTGGGTTTTCTGCCTGCTGCTTCACCACCAGTATACCAGCATCTCTTGATAGAGTGAAGCTATGACAAGAAAACAAACTGAAAAACATGTGAATCCTGGAATAATCCTGGAATAATCTGGAATAATCCCAGCTTCCATCTTTAAAGGACTGGAAGAAGAAAAAGTTTCCAAGGACTCAATCAGAATCGTTTCACCAAGAAATAGATTGTAGAGACTGAACTATCTGTTCAACAGTGAGAGAGTTTCTCTGACAGGAGGAAAAACTTTAGACTCTTTAGACTCAAATCAGCTCAGAAACACTGAAGAACCAGAACTGAACCAGAACCAGAACCCAAATCCAGGAATCAGAGGTTCAGTGAATGTGGTGTTGAAGGTGTGGAGGAGGATCAGTGAGTCAGAGGAGACTCTGTAGAAGGACAGAATGCCAGCAGGACAGTCCACATACACTGCTACTCTGTTAGAGACAGAGGAGGAGGAGAGACGAGTTTCTATGTTATTGTGACAGACAGAGAAACCATGACGATCAAAGCAGCTCAGACTCCAGGAATGATCATTCCATCCAAACCAACAGTCTCTACTGTTTCCTTTCCTCTTGATTCTTCTGTAACTCACTGATATATAAACATCTCCTCTCCACTCCCTCCCAGTAACAGCGACCAGTCAGACCAGTTCTACACAGCAGCTGATGATCATCAAATCTGTCTGGATGATCAGGATATGACTGAAGCTCCTACAAATGTCACCTTCCTGTTGTCTTCAGACAGTTTGAGTTTTCTGTTCACTGTGTTTGTGTCGATGGTGAGTTGACAGGAATCTGATGGAGAACAAATACAATCCAGCTGCAGTTATTGATCATTTATTGACACTTTGACTCCTGAATGAGTGATGTGACAGTTTGAAGATGGTTGAATGTGAGCTGCTTTGTTGTCATGAATCAGATGAAAAACACACTTACATTTCCTCAGACCTGGAGTCAAGAATCGGCCTCCAGCAGGCTCCACCCTGAAAGGAGGAGGGGGGTCAGACCATCAGTCTCTTTCAGCAGCAAACATGGACATTACATGTCTCTCAGACACATATTGTCCTCGAGAGGGTCTTGACTGCAGCCTGCAGAAAGGGGCGGGGACGGACCACTGTCAGTCTCAGACCTTATATGGAATTGGGACTATTGCATTCGGAAATGAAGGGGGCGCTATTTTCACAATCACTAATATCTTAAAGAAGCGGGGTGAAGAGGTCGATTGGAAGAAGTTTGAGAGGTTTCGCCATTGACGTCGGAACGCTATTCATAATGGAACAAGAACAAAGTCTGCAAAAGGTATTTTCTACCTTATTAAAACTTTTTTTAACATAGTACATCAAAGCGCTTTTTCTAGATTAGGTTGAAAATATAATTGACAGCTGCAAACGAGTGAAATTCATAGTTCGTACAGGGGAAGGCAAATTTTAGCATGTAGCATAGCTAATTATTTCCGTGCAGGGCATCATTAGATAAAAATCGAAAAGTAGAAAAATGTATACTTGAGAAATGTATTTTATGCCCCAATTTTTTTTTCGTTATACAGATGCACTTATCAATTTGCAACATTGGGATCGGACAGAAAATTCTTCCCGTACTGTC